CATGACTGGAATTGAGAGATATTTTAGAGGTGAGATAGAAACCTAGATCATTGAAAACACCCAGGAAGGCATGAGGGTGACCCTAGTGAAGACTCTGAGTAATGGGTATATGGAACCTGGACTGGTCATCTTCTGTAAAGAGGCATTGTAGATGACTTGATAAATGGTCTTATTAAATAAAAAAAACATGGAGCCAGATATAGGGGTAAAAACCTGAGAGATTGGGAAAATAGGAAAAGTCACAGCTAACCTCACCCCACCAACTCTGCAGCTTCCAAAAAAGAGCTACTTCCTACACACTCATGCCTCTATGCCTTACTGTTCTGCTCACTCATTTGCTCTCTGAGCCCAGCTACACCACTTCCCCTTCCCTCCCTGTTCTATCACTTGCTGTCTGTCTGTACAGAACTCCAGACTACTATGATTGGTGCTAGGAGTAAAGGCATGTGTCACCATGCCTGACTCTCTTCCCCAGTGTGGCCTTGAACTCACAGAGATCCAGACAGATCCCTGCCTGCCAAGTGATAGTATTAAAGGCATGTGTTACTGGTGCCTGACTTCTGTATAGTGGCTGGCTTTTCTTCTGATCTCCAGGTAAGTTTTATTGGGGGACACAGTGTATTGGTGAACACAGATAAAATATCACCACATTTCCACTTTTTTGTCTAAAATAAAAAGTTATAACTAGTATAAGAAAAATTATATAAAATAAATACAATGACTATGTAGAGTATATATGAACAATAAATACATCACAATGTCTAGTCCATTTTCATTTGGAAAATTCAGCGAAAATATGCCATTATCTTTCCTATTTTGATGAGTCTAAAATGTACCTAATTAACTTTCTATCCTATCTTGTATCAACAACAGAAAACTATCCTATGATGTCTTTCAAATTTATACACTTTATACCTCTTAGTGAGTTTCTTTTCTGAAACTGTAAACAAGGAAAACTGGAACTACAACTATCTAATCTTCAACTCCCTCAGACCTGAGAAAGACATAATATTATCTAGTAAAACAGGAAGTGCAAACAAGCAACTTCCAAAAAAATGTAAGTTTTAACACAAATAGCCAGCTTCCTGGACAGTCACCCAAGGTTTCTCTGCAATGTTGGGGAATCATCTTTGACCTACAGTCTTAGCACATCTGACAAACTCATTTGTAAAGCAGGATGTGCACAGGGCCTGCAGCTTGATCCCACAATCAGTGTCAGTATTCCATGTACCTGATACACTTGAATTTTGTCAGTGTCATGTCATGACTTAGAACTTTACATTCTGGAAATTGGTGGTATTTTTGAATTTGGCTTTCCATTCTTCTCAGCTTCTGGGTGACTTTATCTTTTTACTAAATGCCAGTCTACCATTGAGAGGTCAGACTCTCTCAGCTTAGTTACTCTTCCAAGAATAAGCCTCAGAGGCTGCAACCACACTTGTCTTGGCAAGGATTGGCAGTCACTTTTTATTTATTTGTGTGTGTGTGTATGTGTGTGTGTGTGTGTGTGTGTGTGTGTATCCTGCTTGTCCATTTTGGACAGCATACTGTCAGCAGTCAATACAAGGACACTTTCTTGCCCAGTGGCTAACTTTTGCCACAATGAAAGTTAACTATATGTGGAGGTTTTTCAGTGCCCACATCTTCTCTGAAGTAGATTGATGCTTCCAGGAGCAGACATGTCTCATAGTCATATAAAAAAGAAAAAAAATCTATGTTCTTAAAACATCTTAAATGCCATATTCTGTAGATATCTGGAGGGTTTGAAGATGACCTGTCCATCTAAAATATATCTCTGCTTGACCTAGAAAACATACCTAATATGACTACAAGTTCAACTATAAGGTCTAACTACTAACTTTCATTTCTTTACATCCTAATAGTTAGTAATAATAGCATTAAACAATTAGCAAATTCCATTACACTGTTAAATGAACTATATAAGTACAATACCTTGAACAATATAAGAAATATACATTCAGTATTTTCTAACAAAATCAATCTCAAATTTGTATCAATATAGACAATTTGTAAGCTACATTTTTATCTTATCGTATCTATATAAATCTATCTCAAACTTGTAGCAATATACCTAATTTATATACAATATACAAAAATCTCATCCAATGTAAAATATTTAAAACTAGGGGTGCCTTTTAGAAGTAGATTCAATAATCTACCTTTTTATCTATATCATATCTATATCCTCTCTTTTTTTCTTTTCAGAGTAGATTCAAAAATATACCCTTTATTCTATCATTTCTATATTTTTAAGAGTAGATTCAGTCATCTACCTCTTATCTATATACTCTTTTCATTTTCCTTTTTGATAAACAATAACATTAAACCTAATCTCCTTTGTTTAGCCTTTTCCCTGACCATAAACAATAACAAGTTGTAACCAATCATTCTAAGCAATGATAATTTGTAGGGCAAACAGGATGAGGTTGGCTGCAAAGGTGGTACTAAGAGGAAGTTAGCCCAGGTTGTTTATGCTGAGATTAGATGCAAAGATCAGGAGATGATTTCAGTGCATAAACAACTTGTAAACAAATGAGAATATGGTGATCTTTAAAACAATTGGTTGGCTCCTTCTATTCCTTCCTAGGGTTCTGAGGTTTTTGCTATAAAAGAGGGTTACTGCCTGATAAAAAACAAGTTCTTGCTTGACTTGACTCCCCATTGCATCTGATTGTCTCAGGGTAAGAGGAAGGCTGGGAAACAGGCAAGCAGCTCACTTACGGTTTCTCGGTTCCAGGCCACCTCTTCAGAGGTGACCTCAGTTCCCAGTGAGGCAAGACCCCAAAGCTGGCTATCTAATGTGGGGCTCAAAAGGACGTTTAGCCAAGGCCAAGCAGCCTTCTAGGGTAAGTGAAACCATCAATATAGGTAATGCAACATCCTCAAGTGATAAGCCAGCTCTGAATGCCCTGTATTATATGCTTAAGTCTAGAGGGCTCACCTGGGAGACTATAATTCTCTTTGCCTCTTGGATACCTAGTGCCAACCTTTTCTTCTGCAGCACCTGGGCCCAAAAGGAAAAGCTGGCAAGAGAAAGGAAGAAACATTTCAGCATACTGCCACCCCTGGGCTTCTACACCACTGTCACAGCCCTTAAGGCAGCTTTTCACCTGGATTCTCTGCCACCCCCTACTCAGGAGTCAGAGAGAGAGAGTGATTCTCCCTAAGGGTTAAAAAGGAAAAGAGGCCACTGCTGGGGGCTGAAAATGATGGGGAAGGTTCTGAGAGTTAAAAAAAAAATTGGGCCAAATTCGGCTAGGAGAATGTGAGATGCACAGAAAACTACATGGTAGAGGTTAAAGCAGTCATAAAAGTCACTGCACTCAAGCCCTGTGATCCAAAGGATTCTGGCCCTCTGCCTTGCAACCCCAGGGTTGAGGCTGCTCAACCCTCATACATGGCATTAAGGACAGATATCAATGATGTGGGCACCTACAACCAGCCCCTCACCGGGAGCCATGGGTCAGGAGAAAACTTGGCCCCAGGCCCTAATAGACCTCTGGAGTGGTACCCCTGGAAGGCAAAATATCTCAAAGAACTCCACAAAGTAGGCTCTCCATGGGCTCATACCTTACTACCGGGTATTGCCTATAATCCCTGTGTCCCCAAGGACTGGTTAGATCCGGCCAAGGCTTTCCTTTTCAGCACCCAATGCATCTTCTATCAGGAGGAATGCCGGACCAGGGCAGAGGCCAATTGGGTGGCCAACACTTCTATCCCTATCACCTATGGCATGCTAGCAGGTACAGCTGAAGGGTATTTGACAGGGGTCCAACAGGTGGTCCTGCAAGGGCTGCACTGAGATCAGGTTTGACAAGTGGGGCTTGTAGCCTGGAGCAAATTAGATGAAGGGTCTACCAACTCTCCCATAGCATGGTAAGACAAAAAACCAACAAACCCCTACTGGAGTTCATAGATAGAGTCCAATAGAGTATGTAGTTAATTTCCCCACTCATGGTTGCCTTCAGGAAATTACTGGAGGGACAAGAATGCCCCATACAACATATGAGGGGGCATTCTGGGCTATCAGGATTTTTATCTGTGGGAAACCATCAAGCCAATGAGCTGGCATCAGGATCTAGGATACTGACCTTAAAAGATAGTTTAGGAAAGGCATGTCAGCTCTTCCTAAAGGTACCACCCTTTACACATGCAGGGAGTTAAGCACAGAGGCCTAGAGCCAAATATCCTCTGACAAACAGATGTTATATTTTGTTTCAATAAAACAAATAGGGAATTAGCCCCCATATTCAGTTACTCTGCACCCCGTGGCCATCACACTCTAGCCTTGGGGCTACAAGGACACCTGCATTGGGCCCCAGTCAGGGTCTTCTGCTCCTCAGCCACCCCTTCAAGGGCCTTGTGGGGCAGGAGCTCCTGGACTGACAGTCCATATAGAAGTGATGACAGAATACAAGTTGTAGTGGTGGGTGATGGAGGCATGGGAAAGAGTGCCATGACCATCCAGCTGATCCAGAAACATTTTGTGGATGAGTATGACCTCACCATAGAGGACTCCTATTGGAAACAGGTGGTCATTGATGGGAAGACATGTCTTCTGGACATCTTAGACCCAACAGGTCAAGAGGAGTATAGTGCGATACAGGACCAGTACATGTGCAAAGGAAGGCTTCCTCTATGGGTTTGCCATCAACAACATCAAGTCCTTTGAAGACATGCATCAGTACAAGGAGCAGATCAAGTGGGTAAAGGATTCCGACTATGGATGTGCCAATGGTGCTGGTGTTGAACAAGTGTGACCTGGCCACTTATACTATTGAGTCTCAGCTGGCCCAGGACTTTTCCTGCAGCTATGGCATCCCCTACACTGAAACATTAGCCAACACCCAGCAGGGTGTAGAGGATGCCTCCTACACACTAGTGCGTGAGATTTGGTAGCACAAACTGCAGAAGCTGAACCCTCCTGATGAGAGTAGCCCTGCTACATGAGCTGCAAGTGTGTACTATCCTGATGCCAGATGGCAGTACTCTTGCTGATGGTCATCCTTTTCTTTGTGTCTATGGCTGAAGCCCAGAGGAACCAATACCAACCTCACCATGTGATCTGGGCAGTGGTCAGTGCTGGCAATGGACCTGGCCAGAGGATCCTGGGACATTGGGGATTGGACCGCCCTTTCATAAAGGACTTCAGTTCTCCCAAGTCCCTTAAACCTGGCACCCATAGTGGGGACACAGTGGGCTTCATGAGTGGCCTTCTTTCCCCAGAGGTCTCATCCCCCTATCCACCACTGCTCCCAATGTTCTTTGGCTTCCCCCTCTTCCCTGCAGCAGCCTCTGACACCAACCCCAGGAGAGATCTACCACCTGCCTCCAGCATCCACTACCACTTCTCAGGGCCCCATTGCTGGCTCCTCAAGGTCCTTGGAGCCTGGGAACAATGGTGACTATACCAAGATAGCCCTTGGTGTGGCTACATCTCACCGCCAAGACCCACCCACTCTTCTACCATGATCCTCACACTCATGGCCAATGGTGGTGGCAAAAGCTAAATGTGGCACCCCAGGGCTGGGGCTAAAGCTGTTTTTGATGCTCCTGCTCCTGGAAAAAGCCCCCCCCCCCACCCCGGGGCCTCTACTTCTCAAGAGATGCTTACTGGGAGAGGCTGTATGTGGCCCAGACATCTGGCACACATCTACTCTATGTCCATGCTCTACAGGATACCCCGAAGTAGTCCCCAGTGTAGATGTATCCAACTGTCTTTTTAAATAAGAAACACAGAACCAATGTAAAAGAGAAAGCCGAGAGATCAGAGCTCAGAGCTATAATCTTACCCTTCCTCCTGTGTGCTTCTAGCTTCCTGAAAGAGACCTATTTCCTGTGTGTATGTCTTTAAATAATCTTTCTGTTCTGCCTTCTCATTGGTTGTAAACCCAAACACATGACTGCCTC